CACTGCATTCACTTCCCTGAGGGAGCTTTAGGTTGGGGTTGAACAGAGGCCTTACAGAGCTAGCCAGAGTCTTCACTAACATTGGATTGCCTTCAGAATTTGAGAAAGGGTTCATTATACTACTCCTTCTAGGCTGGAATTCTGAGTTCCATAGTACAAGACAGCAAAGAATGGAGTAATTCGAGAGAAAGTCTAGAAACTCAGGCCAACACTAAACCCTGCATGCACAGATTCAATGTGCTATGTGACCTGCTGTTTTGTGATTTTAAAAAAAAAATCTTTTGTTCAAGATAGCTTGTGTCAGGTTTCTTTCATTAATAATAAGAAAGCATAGTTTGCATGCTTTCCGGGTATATTTGAAATCACTATATTGTAGTCATACAATGTTTTATTACATTAAAAAAAAGTACAGCATATGTCCTTGGTATAGGTCATTCTAACTGGTCTGGGTGTAGGATTTGTATTAGGACTTCATCTCTACACCAAAACAATGGATTCCCCAAGTGAGAAATATGTCCCGTTCATTCTTTTGTGTTTATGGAATATAGTGAGAATTCCATCCAGGTGCATGGTGGGTAGTGTTCAGTCAGCACAGTTAACAGCCCTGTCGCTGTAGCTATTTGTCATTTCTTGGCTCTGGGTATCAAAGTGCTTTCATCTAGTTCTTTACAAAATATGTAGTCAAGCCAGGCATGATGGCACACACCTCCAGCCCAGCCCTCGGGAGGCAGAGGCATGCAGACCTCTGAATTTGATGGCCCCCTGGTCGACAGAGCTAGTCCAAGAACAGCTACAGGGCTACATAGAGAAACCATGTCTCAAAAAAACAAACCAAACCAAACAAACCCCTCAAACCCAAAGTATGTAATCACCAGTTTCCTAGGTGTTTACATGGAACACTAGCCCTTGTTTCTCTGACCTGCATGTGTTTGGGTACTTGGAACTTGCTGCTTGATGTTCTCGCATGTACCGCTTAGCTCTCCTTCCTAGAGCCTAGCTAAGTATTGTTCCACTCATTAGCACTGTGTGATCATCTTTCACTTTCTTGTGTGGGAGAGCTCATCATCTGTCTTTCTGCTTCTTGTTTATTTCATTTAACACAGTGGAGGATTGATTTTCCTTTTCCTCATCCTTGGCCCACATGCACACCTGGTCTGGTGATTGACACATGTTTAATAAGTGCTTGCTGAACGCCTCAGCACCTGGCACTAGCTATTATATTTTGTTATTTTTTTATGGGATAGTTCTATGCATTCTGCCTTTTTTTCTCATTTCCCTTCCCTAATGTACAATTCCACTGACCTTTGGGAAACTCATTATATTATTCACTAACACAGATTCTGCAGACTCAGAATTGTTCATTGTAATAAAATACACCATAGTCTGCAGAATAGAAAAACTATTTCCTAAAAACTGTCTGAAATTTCCTAAGCTCATTAACAATCATAAAACATTGTAACGTTCAATTTGAACTGTGCCCACAGCTCTGTAAAACTCACCAAAATGCGGTAAAAGCATATAGAATATTGAAACAGAACAACATAGTTAGACTTTTATTCCCTGCCTCATCACTTTTTTTAGAAAGTAGCTTGGTTGGAAATGGTCAAATGTAAAATTATATCTTGACCCAATGAATAAGGACTTCAGAACAAGAAGGGAATAGACAGCACTTGCACAGAGTAGTCAGGAAATTTTGACTAAGCTAATTCTTCGTCTAAATGGAAATTCTGGTTATGGGATCCATCACAGATATGATAACTTTCAATATGTTTTGCTAAACAGAATTCCAGCTCCCATTCCTGTAGCAGCAGAAGGCATTCAGGAAACACATAAAAGATTTTAGCTCACTCTGCTATCATCTGGTAATGTGTTGATCAGAAGGCTTCAAGATTCGTCTCCCCATCTCTAGCCCCACTTTTCCCTTCCCTGTTCTCGGATTCTTTCTTGAGTATTCTTTTGTCACCCACAAGGACAGTGAAGCCACAGTGACTGAGACCCCAGTTTGGTTTTGTGGGGAGAAAAGTTCATCCTGATGCCGAGAACAAAGATGATTCCTGGCTGTAGGATTTTCTCCTGTTCCAGATAGAATCCAGGCAGCCAAATGAGGCTTAATAAACAAAATCACTCTCTAAACGGTCATCTTGGAGGCTGATCATCAAGATCTATGGCCAGAACTGCTGGGTGAACTGTTGGTATGATCCAGGCAGGGAGAGGCTGACAACAGGGTCTGGACTACTCTAGGCAACAATTAAGAACAATTTACCTGGTTGTCTGAGCTGAAATGGCACATTTGGGCCATTCTCCACAGAAACTGTCCTCCTCGGCAATCTGTCTTGTGGTCTGGCATCCTCACTTGTACCTGATCTGCGCTACGAAAGCTCTGCCCATGCTTTGGCACCTCTGCAGAGAGGGAGAGTCCGACACTAGCAAAGGGAGAACATGGATCTTTCTTTGCTGGAGTAAGTACCACCGGTGTCTCTTCAGAGACAAAATCACAGCCTCTTGCTATTAGAAGGCACATCAAACAAGAACCCAACACGTTTCTTTCTCATCTTATTTAGTCGCGAACCTGAGGCACTTTCAAAGCTTAAGTAGTCTGCATAATTGAGTCACAGTCCACATCATCATGGTCATGCTTCCTGAGCCTGTGACTGCAATGTGTCCCAAGAGGAAAGAAAATTTAGGGATCAAGAGATGCAGGAAATTGCTCTTTCTCTTGGTCTAATTTTATTAGAATGACTCTCTCTAATGTCGAATAAAAAGGATTAATTATGATCTTTATTAACATAAGTGGATGACTTTTATGAAAGTGTTTTATGAAATAAACCCAGTCTTCCTCTTTTGTTTCACGCCCAGTAGTGTCAAGCCGTATATTGTATTTTTTGCTTATTTATTTTATTTCCAGTCTCTCTCTTAACTGTTAAAACATAAACTTCTTAAGGGCAGGAGATTACTAACCCCAAAGTGGAAGCTGCATGAATAGCAAACAAAGCAAAATAGAAGTCACAGTTATTCCTTGCTTTCTCCAGCTGTGATTTGTTCTAAAAGTTCACTATGGCTACAATCTAAATTTTTGAACAAGTCATTCAAGTTATTACCATGTGTCTCTAGACGTGGTGCTGAAGAGGACTTGATTCTAGAGATTTGCTTGCACGGCTTATTTCTGTTCAAATAGAATATGTACATGAGCAACATTTAGGTTTAGAATAAAGCAGGTATTACTGTGACTGAATTTAGGGCTTACAAGATATCAGCTAAACCGGGCGGTGGTGGCCAAAGCTACAGAGAAACCCTGTGTCGAAAAACCAAAAAAAAAAAAAAAAAAAAGATATTAGCTAGCTGTTTTTTTTTTAAAAAAAGAAGTACAAATAAGCATTAAAAATAAAACAAAACCACAACTCACAGTGGAAGTCCTGAGAGTGAAGGGTCAAATTTCCGGTTTGGGAATTTAACATCAGGAAGTTCAGGAAAGGCTTTGATGAACTGACACGTGCTACTCTCTCTCTCTCTCTCTCTTCCTCCCTCCCTCCCTCTCTCTCTCTCTCTCTCTCTCTCTCTCTCTCTCTCTCACACACACACACACACACACACACACACACACACACAGTGACAGGGTAACACGAAGAGCTGTGAGGTCCATTAGACAAAACTCCTCCGGGGAATAGAGGATTCTAGCCAAATGACACAGCTCTAGAATGCTCCAATGCTGAGTATGTCACAGAGGTTGCTGGCGCAGCACATTCTGTGTGTAAGACCAGATGTTCCAGATGTTCTGGGGGACCCTGCTAATGTGGCTTTGAGTTTGATGTTGTGCCTTGGAGAATAATGACTGTGAAGTTCATGTGACCTTATCACTGCTGCTTTATAGGTATTCCCCATGATCAGTCAGCGCATACCCACACAACAAAGTAAGAACCAGCTGCAAAAGTCACACTCCATGTCAGCAGAAGTATCAACTGTGCCCAAAATCTAACCAAGTTTATGCCTGCATATGAAATGTCAGCATTTGGGAAATAGAGGCAGGAAGATCTCTTGAGTTGGATTCAGGTTAGCCCAGGCTACGCAAAGTGAGTTGCAGGACAGCCAGAGTTACATAGAGAGACCCTGTCTCATCTCAACAAACAAAACAAAGCAAATCTTGTGAAATGTGAATACTCTGTAGTGTGTACTGTAGTGTGTAGTGTAGTGTGTAGTGTACTGTGTACTGTAGTGTGTAGTGAGGTATAGGGGTTTGTCGGGAGGTTGTAAGCTTTAAACAGGAACAAGGGAATGTGATGCTGCCGTGGCTATGCTCTGTGTGTGTTTAGGAATGACTACAGTCACATAGCTGTCTTTGCATGTGAGGACGGTCAAAATCACACCAGTGCTCCTTCCCCATCACTATAGCTTTAGAACCCCTCAGGGGGCATTGAAGAAGGCAAGCTAATTAGACAAACCTGGCTTCTGAGATGAGGCACTGGTGAGAGAATACATTGTCTGCTCTGACCTTGCCCGCACTTGCATCGTTGGAATATCTGTAATTCTGAATGCTGTCTCTATGACTGTGGGCAGATCATAGAGGCTGAGTGTATGAACTGTTCGGTTCTGTAATGCTATCAACCACAAATGTAATTGCTACAGATAAAACAGAACAAAAAAAAAAACACCCACGACAAACTAAAAGAGAGATTGGAGAAAAGATTATGCATCTCAAAAGAACCTTGAGAGATGACATCCACTGATAGTGCATCGCCTGAAAGCGTTCTCTCTTCTTCTCAGTGTTATCTATCATAGGCTGATATGGATTTTGCAGTGCTTCACTGTACTGCTCCGTGGAAGAAATGAGTAAGAAGTCAACATTACCCTCTCTTTTGTTTAACTGTAGGTAAGCATTGTCTTGCTGCCCTAGAACAGTGAGAGTGTCCTAGAGAAGATGTATATCAGGCAAGGAACAAAGCCCAGCTCACCCTGTTGAGGACTTTCCCACCCAAAGGCATTGTGCTTGCAGTCCATGCACTTACATCCTGGTTGGACATTTCCCAATATGGTCTCTCTCCATAGGACATCACCTCCCACATGACAATGCCATAGCTCCAGGCATCACTTGCTGAAGAGAATTTTCTGTAGGCAATAGCTTCTGGGGCCGTCCACCGTATAGGGATTTTCCCACCCTGAAAAGAAATAGGATATTTCTCAGTTGGCTCACAAGTATATTAAGACACAGGCATCCCATTTAAATATCTCTTGTTTGCAATCCCTAAGCACTTGATAATAATGTTGGCACTTTAAATTAAAATAGAAAAGAGAACTGGGGAATGTGAAAACATTAGAATTCCACCCCCCCTTAATTGTTATTCAGGAAAAATAGCTTTAATGGGGGAAAAGTATTACTTTGGAAAGATTTTATTTTATTCATTAGAGAAATTTATTTTTACTTTAGATTCACACAATTAAACACAGTATTATGCCATTTGGAGAAAGTTCCAGATTATAGGACATTAAAAACTAAATATTATTCAACACTCATTAAGCACTGCATTACGTTTATAAGTAATAATGAGTCTAAAGCTCAACTCTAATTGAAGACAAACGGTTAAACACGCTGAGCAGCCTTCCCAACTCCACATTTAGGAGAACATTATTTTGCTGCTTTTCCTCAGCTTTGATAACGTTATTTCATAAATAATCTTTACCACAATACAAGAGCAGAGGACGTAGGAAAACTTTTATATTTTTCACACGTGAGAGTACATTGCATTTTTTCCCTTCATCGCTCAAGTTTACATCTGAACATCATAAAGGGATTAAATTGCACACATTTATACCGTTTAAATGCTAACGTCTGTCATTGTGTCCTATTTCACTTTTATTAACATTTATCACATATTATCTGTTGAAAGACTCTGTAAATCCCCCTTTACTGTGGTGACAAGAATAAAACAATTCATCCATTTGATTTATAGCAATATTTTAAAATCTTAGCTCAGAACTACCACGTTGTGGCAGCTGTGTATGACCATGTCGCCACTAGATGGCGGTAGAGAACCAGAAGCTGTCTGGCTCAAACCCGGGCGATGGCTTCAGTTCTCAGCAAAATTATTTCCATCAGTCAGAACCCGCCACGGTGGGATTGTTTCAACATCCTCAGCACTTTCATGCGCACAGCATCTGAGCTCGCGATCTGCAGGAAATCTGTGTTAAAGGGACTGTGGGGGAGGAGCGGAGGAAAAAACAATCTGTGTACTTTCTTTCACCCTTGATGAATTTAGGGTTGGCAAAGTTATCTTTTAGAGGTGAAATTTCTGAGTACTATAATCTTTAATTATTTAACAATCGAAGCACTATAAACTTCAAGAGAAAAAGGATTAATTTGAAATAGAAACAATTTAGATTTCATAAGGTAAATGGGAGAATTAGAGAAATCCTCATTTCAGAGAAGCCCGGAGAGGAATTGTTAGGACCCTTGGGAAAAACACTTTGAATCCAATCCTCTGGTTTTTTCAAGTGAGTGAGCAGCCTAGTGTTCAGAGAGGACCAACTGATAGTATTTGAAGTCTGCTAGTGCAATCATACAGACAGCATGGTGTAATGTTGCCAGAGAGGCATAAATACTTCAGCTGGAGTGTTGGGTACATAACTAATTTTAATATTTAATGTGATATATTGTAGTAGCTTAGACAGGAGCCCAAGGTCAGGGTTTCTGTGCTTTAGGGCAGAGATCTCTTAAAAGTCATCGAATAAAGAGCAGGAAATCACATTTATGAAATAAGTGAAAGCAATCTAACTGGGAATGAGGGCAGGAGAGAGGGAGTCATTCTTCTTTTCTCTTTTTTTTGTGTGTATGTGTGTGTGTTTTCTGTGTGTGCCATGTGTGTGAGGGTGATTGTTGAGGCCAGCTGAGGCTTTCCTGTACCTTATAGCTGGAGTTACAGATGGTTGTGAGTGGCCAGAAATGGATGCTGTGAATTGAACTTTGGTCCTCTGGCAGAGCAGCAAACATTCTTAACTGATGAACCCCTCTACACACACAGACACACACACACAGACACACACACACAGACACACACACACAGACACACACACACACACTACACACACACACACACACACACACACACAGACTTCATACCCCTAAAAGATTAAATCTTTAATGTAAGTTTGCCAGAAAAACAACCAACCATACAATAAATCCCACAGAACCCACAGTTAAATTGGAATTCTAGGTAAATACAAAATAATATTTTTTACAGTATATATACTCCATGAAATATATACTCATACTTTTTTAAAAATTATGTCCCAACTATTAAAACTGACACTTATCATATATGAATAAATCAATCACCCTTCTTTAACTATAATTGAAATATAGATTATATATTTTGATTTGCTACATGAGGCAAACCATAGTTAAATGCACTAAAAATAAGATGTTGTAAATGCTGTCATTGAACATTAAGTGATGCCCCAAGGAAGACTGTACCACCTATGTGTCTCTGCCTTTGATAAGTGCAAAAGTGTTCTATGTGGTAGTGCAAAGCAGCAGCTAATGGTGGCAACTTTATTAATTTATTGACTCGTAAATGCTATCCTTACCCATAGGATTCACAGAAGCTATACATTGCATTCCAAACAACTTTCACGTGAAATATGACTTTGATCACACTCTTTCTTGAGATTTTCTTCTCTTCCAAAAGGGAAGATATTAAAAAAGAAAAAAAAATATTTGACAAGCTGCATTGCTACCTGTTGTGAAGTGCATTTACTCCAAATTCACGAGCTGAAGCCTCAACACACAGGGTGACTGTCTTAAACGTCTTTTAAAGTAAAGGTAATTCAGGTTAAATCAAGTCATAAGGGCGTAGCCCAGGATGACTGGTGTCCCCATAGGAGGATGAAGAGATAGCAAAGAATCTGCAGGCACAGAGGGAAGGCCATGTGAGGACACCCTCCGGAAGCAGCCAGCTGTCTGTGAGCCAGAGAAGCTTCCAGAAGAATTGCTGACACCTTGTTATTGGACTCAAGAATTACAAAGGAAAAATTTCTGGTGTTTAGGACACCCATTTGGTGGTGTTTTCTCATGGCAATGCCAGAAGACTATTACACTACCCCAATTTTTTAAAAAAATGAACCTCATTCAATACTTGTTCAAATGAATACCATCACAAAACGAACAGCACATCTTTATTTGAAATTCTTTGCCCAGTGTTGTCTGGAAATGGAAAGTGTGAGCCAGAATAATCCTAAAATAAAATGTGAAAAAAATGGGACAGACGTTTAATGTAGAAAATATAATTTTAAGAAAGAAAATGCATGAAACTAATAGTGGGTGGAAAGTGGAAACTGGGATGCTTCTGAGCTCACATGTGATAGAGATAAGGAAACAGTCAAAACATATTTCTTTTTCCTGATGAGGAATGCTAAATATAGATTATTTCTAGTTGTAAGATTAGGCAAAAAGGAAGAGACACTTAAGCCTAGGGCATGGTTTCTATTTCCTGCATAAAAGAAAGTAGAATTCATAAAAGAAAAAAAAGAAACACAATTCATGAGTATTGCATATGCATGTGCATGCTTGTGTGTGTGCGCGTCAGGGTGCACATGATCATTAGCACATGTATGGAGCACCCATGTGGAGGTCAGAGAACAGCCTCAGGTATCAGCACATGTATGGAGCACCCATGTGGAGGTCAGAGAACAGCCTCAGGTATCAGCACATGTATGGAGCACCCATGTGGAGGTCACAGAACAGCCTCGGGTATCAGCTCTTGCCATAGCACATGTATGGAGCACCCATGTGGAGGTCACAGAACAGCCTCGGGTATCAGCACATGTATGGAGCACCCATGTGGAGGTCACAGAACAGCCTCGGGTATCAGCTCTTGCCATAGCACATGTATGGAGCACCCATGTGGAGGTCACAGAACAGCCTCGCATATCAGCTCTTGCCTTCTAAGGAGTTAAAGGCAGGTTCTCTTTATTGTTGGTGATGCACAGCCAGTTTACTGGCCCCAAGCTTCTGAGGTTGCTCCTCTCCCCATCTCCCATCTCATTGTAGGTGTGCTTGGCTCACAGATCCCTGCTGCCTTACTCAGCTTTATGTGCACCCTGGGAGTTGGAACTCAGGTCCTCAGAGGTCCATGGAGCCACCTCCTTGGCTCCCCTCCCTTTAATAGAAAGGACTAACTTAAGCCGTGCTTAATCTCATCTCCATGCTTGCACCCTTGAGCGCTTAGGTGCTTTTTGTCTCCTTCCATTTCTTTCTGTTATTTCTGGAAGCTCTAACCACCAGATGCTTGCTTCAGGTTTCAGGAATGAACAAATAGTATAATTTTTTAGATTTGAAACCACAATCATGGTTCGTTGTTTCACCATATGTTAGAAGAAAAGATCCTAATCACAGGGACTAACTGGGATTCTGAAGCGCTTTCATTAGTAATTCCTCTCTTACATAGCAGCAAGCTTAATCGCTAGGGAACAAAGGAAGAACAGGAAGTCAGAGACATATATGCTACTGAAACTCGGGCTTAGCAAAGCTTTTACTCTGTTTTCCAAATTATATTCAAAGCTTGTTACCTACCAAATAGGTAGTGGGTTGCAGATATAAAAGGACTGAAAACAGAATGAGGAACTCTGCATACTTGTATATTCCTGCATACCCAGCACCCCACAATGCAGCTGTACTACAGATCTATTTCACACGTAAATTTTAGAATGTAACCATATTGTCTCTAATGAACAGGCCTGTCAATAGATATGTAGTAAAATTAAGAAGATTTTACTTTAATTAATACTAAAATCTAACAAAAGAAATGATCCAGAGAAAGTAAAGACATTTGAAAAATTCTCTATTTCTCATTCTCTGGATTTGATGTTTAGCCTAAAGAAAAAGGTTTTGGATGGACAATAAGCTCTTTGGAGGTTTTTCTTTTCTTATAGAGCCTATTTATGAAGCCCTAAAACTTTAAAAGATAAGAGTTATGGAATAAACAAACACCCAGTAAATATATAGAAATATTTTTAGCATCCTTAGCTATGAGGAAAAGGCTAATCAAAATTACAAGGAGGTTCTATCTCATCACAGTCAGAAAGGCTATTATCAAGAAACCAAGCAACAAATGCTAGGCAAGATGAGAGAGATAGGAAGAGGGACCTTTATCCAGTTCTGGTG